TTATATCTGAGAATAGAAAAAACTTTTTGCAGCTTAAATAAATAATTAACCCATACAAAATTATGAAGCTGAAGGAAATTTTGGCATCTTCAGACTTCTACAAAACAAGGAAATCTGGAAAGCATCATCAAAATTCCAAAAGAAAAATAAAATAATTGCACAATTTACTTGTAACACTACGAATTTAAGAGTTCATTTTCTGCTAAATCTAGAAAATAAGGAAATTGAGAAAAATGAGGAATAATTAGCAACAATTTTTGCACACACTGTTGACAAAATTTTTCCTATTATAAAAGGATGTCTACCCAATATATTAAAAATCAACAGTGCATAGAATATAATTATTTATGTGTCAAAAAAATAAGGAAATTCAAATCAACACTGCAGCAATGATAATCATAATTTTTTGTAGATTATTAATAGTTTGTAGAGCTATTTTGTTTTCCTTTTTTAGAACTCCACCTAACAGTAATTTAGGACAATAACAAGCAACCAGACTGAACAAATAAGTTAATATTTGCTGGCTATAACATAAAACGCTATAGAAAAGATTCACAATGACTGAACATGAGTGCAAATTAATGTGGCAATGACCCTATACAATATTTATGATTCATCACATAACAATACAACAGAGATTTTTATATTTAGCCAAGAAATATCTAAACATTTTTGACAGTAAAGTGATTACTTGCAAGCAAACTGGCTCAAAGAAAAGAAAACTCTTCCCAATTATTAAATTTCTTACAACCACTACAATGATAATAAATTGCAATCATAAGTTAGATTTCCAGCTCTAGGCTAAAAACTTGAGCAATGCTTATAATTCTTTGGGGTGAAATTCTCTTGCACCTCAAATTAAAACTTTATTACCTATTAATGACATCTTTTGTCATTCCAGAGAGAATTAAATATTCTCTTGCCAATAATTAAATTTAGAATTAATGGAAAACAGTAAAGTTTGTAAGGAAATGAATTCTCTGTACACATTTCTCCACTTGCTACTAATAGAAAAAAATTTCATTAGCAGTCCTCCTTAACAAATTTCCTAATTAATATTAAAAATGACATTTGAAATCTTAGAAGTTGTTTCAGATTCTTGATTATCATTTAACATTACCTAAATCTGCAATAAGATGCCTGCTGCAGGAAAAATGTTAAATGTTAAATTTAAGTTAATATACTTTACACACTAGGACATTTTATATAATATTTAGTTTTATTCAGGCTTTAAATGAATTTCTAAATGTTAATTTTATAAAATGTAACTCTATAAGCATGTTAACTCATCATATATAAATATATATATATATATTTATATTGCAAATATTTTGCACTTACTTTCCTAGCACTTTAAGGAAAAATGTATAAATAATCTAAAAAAGTGCATGCTAATTTTACACTTAATATATTCAAGATAATCATCTCAAAAATTTTGCACATATTTAAAATAATTTCACATTCAATGCCTCTTCTATTAAAAGGAAAAGATTTCAAAATAAATATTCAATTCAGAATGTTCATCAAAATAAATTATTCATCTTAAATGTATCAAGCAGAATTTTAAAATATAAGCAAACCACAAATACAAACTTTTAAATTTTAAACTGTATTAGCATGAATCAATATTTATTTTAAAATATTAATTACAACCAAAATTTATAATAATTTTCCAAATACATGATAATATATTTAATATATATTAGATCTAGTTAAGAAAATTAAAAATTTTAACTGTAAATTGTATACTATTCAATAAAAACTTTAAAGCTCGAAATCTAATTTATATTTTAAAATGTATTAAACTGTAATATAAAGCAACAGCTCTCAATTTATAGGCAAATCTAGCCATATTACTAATGGTAAATAGTAGAATTTAATTAATTAAATTAGCTTATGTTATATAAATCTAACTAATACTCAATTGAAGAACAGAAAATTTTAAGCTTATAAACAACACGGCTAAATGAATATTATCATTAATTAAATATGCTTTAATAGTTTACAAATATAAATATTTTTGCTATAATTCTTCTATTGATTGTATACATTTCATAACGATTATTTATAATCCAAATGCAGCATTTTTTTATTCAGTAGCTTAAGGAAAATTCTATTGAGAAAATTTACATAGGGAAAGTTCCTATCTGTTGAGTAAATCTTCAATACAAAAGCAAAGGGATTGGCTTTTCAACGATCTCGCTTTTCTACTCTATCTGATGATAAATAACTCAATCGAATTTCTAAGGTTAACGACCTGCATAACCATAAAAATTAAGACAAAAGAAATATGACACTAGCCTACATCGTACTAGACGATTTCGAGGTCAGAGTTCGATGAACTCCAATCAAAATATCAAATCAGGATAAAAGAGGGAGGGAAAAAAATAAAAAAACAAATAAAACAACACTTTTACAACCGTGACAAATGCTCATAACTACGTCAGTAGGGAGCTACTATCACAATCTATTTTTTGCATTTGAATTTTCAAAATCTGTGACGTAAGAGTGACGTGAACTAATTCGACAAATGAGGTTTATAGAAAGCTGTTTTTGTATGGGTAAAAGTCACGATACGGAAGGAAGGAGAGAGAAAAATTTATAAACATTGCCCTTGGCCAGAATCATCTGAATAAATCTCTTAACCAGTCACGCTAGTTATGATTAGTCATTGTTAATACCAGCAATAAAGGTGATATAAGAGGTCCGGGCAATTCTTCAGCAAATGCGGAAGTTTGGGACTAAAAAAGGGGCATTTTATAAAATGATTAAGACTCTTTAATAAGAGATTTCCGCCCTGCTTCCTCTAATTTTGCATGCCCTTCTATACGCGACCATTCCGTTGAGTTTCGCATCAATGTTTAGATTTGACGAGACTTTGTTAATGACACGATACACGTGGACGGTTATTCCACCAGGAAATGGGGGAATCACTTTTTTTAATAATTTTTTTTTCTTTCTTTCTTCAGTATCACGGTGATGAATCATTCCTTCACACAACAATGGCGTTAGTTATTGCAGTAAAATCAATAACATGAGTTTTTCTCCCGTCATTACGTATTATAATTCAGAATATTAAACGTAATAATTATAAAAATTCATCTTTCGACGAAAGATAAAAATATAAAAGTTTTGAAAAACGTCACGGGTATAAAAAGTACAAATAATCCGATCTTGACCAATGGAGTGTGTGATAAGATGCAACCAATGGTGTTAAAGATTCGTAAACGTCGAAGAATGTTGTTAATGACGCAATAAAATAGCAGGTTAACAAAAAAATTTATGATAAAAAAACTAAATTGTATGATGTAATTAATAATAAAAGCAATAATTCAGTGGCCTAGATTTTAAATAAAACGTAATTGTCAGAGAGTAAAATTATTCAAAAATTGTAATTTAGTATTTTAAAATCATTTAAAATACCGAAAGTCGAATGTAATACATTTATTTATACATTCACGCCTACTAAATAAAAAGCAATATTTTTAATCTTAAGTGATGACGTCACCTACAGTGTATTGTTGTCGCTGACGTCACCCACGGTAGAAAGATAGTCTCGACCCACAATGACCTTCGTAACCAGATAGCATAAGGTGGCTGGCGCCGAGATTAGTTACTTTAATGTAATTTATAAGTTTATTAAAATTATTATTTCACATAATACATTTTATGTTAAAAAAGCATTACTACTGGCAGGAAAATAAAATGGCAAAAATATGTGGCATACAATTTAAAATTAAATAAAATTTGATATGATTTTTATTGTATATTCTATCAGACAGCAGCAAGCAGCAATTCTTTTGTAGTTGCAAAAAAAGGTTATTATTAAAACATAGTACAGAAGTGTCGATAAGATGATTAAAGTGATAATAATTAAATAATAATAAAGTTTTTGTTCATTTGACTGCTGATCAATATGCTTTTGATGCTTAATTACCTCAATGAGTGTATGTGTAAAGATGTGAAGTACTGTATTATTAAGTGGAAGCAGCAGTAGCTCAGCTGGCTCCTGACTAAAACATGCTGTGATACATCCGAGTGGAGCCGTACTCATCATTATCCAAAAGCTAGTCCAGAACGGTTCTCTTTAATAAGTGCTAGTTCTTTCATACCACCTCATTCCACCTACTATTCAATAAACCAGCCATCATCCCCAGAGGTGATGTAACATAGTAAACACTTCCTACATATACCAAAGTGTCTGGTTTATTTGAAAGGATATTTAACAGAAAACCGCAGAACAGGACGATTTTATTGTCTAAAATATGGCAATGTAATATTTGTTTGACAATTCAGGAAGTTCTTCCATTCTTGAAAGGTCTAATTGGAATAAGTGATGACCTTTACCTCTTACGAAGCATTAAAGAGTCAAGCCATGCATTAGGAATTTGCATGTCATCAGTACTTAATATAGAGCATAACTGTTTTTAAATTGTTATAGACTAGTTCCTTTCTTGTTAAATAATTATTGAATAATCCAATGTCCTAAATAAATAAATTTTTTTTTCTTATTTGCATTATTTAAAATATATTACTTTCTAATAAATATTTACTTTTAAAAAACAAAATATTAATTTCACATTTTAATCAAATTATCTTTTATTTTTATTGCATTTAACAATATTTGTTGCCAAGATTTTTTATTCAGATATTTATATATTAAAAGACCTTTTACATAAACAATTTACACTCTTCTACAGATTTATACACATTTTATAAAATTATTTTCTAAATATTTCTGATTAAGGAAATGAAATTACTTTTTCCTTTTAGTAAATAATTTTCCCCGATGCTGGAAAAAATTCCAGACAGTATTTTTTCAAGGAAAAACTATTATATTCAGTCTTTAAGATTAAACACAATATTACTTTTTAGTATTCTTAATAATAATTTATTTATAATTTAATAACTTAGAATTTTGTTTCTCTACAGAATAAATTATAATTACAACATGCAGTAAACTATTAAATTATTTCTGAAAAATCTTATACATATTTTACCTTTCTCCTTTGGTAGAGCTTGGATGGTGGAGAATAGTTTGTTGATCACCCATTTCTAGCACACATTGTGTGCTCAATTCAATCTCTGTTAAATAAATGTCCAAATGTCATTAACATAAAATGTATCCATAATTATTTACAATCAATATAGTTTAACATATAGTTTGACAATGGTTAGAAAAGCTTCTGTTTGTTAATCAGTAAATATAATAATACATCATAATTAAATTTTCTGCCCATATTAATCAGATTAGAAAATTCAATACTCTTAATTATTACTAGAAATTCTAATGTTCTAACCAATTAATTTGTCTGTTTCCATGTTTAAGTTGACAGTTTATATATTTATCACTTTATTTATCATAAATAAAAGATAGAATCTTTGAAAAGGCTAAATTAAGAAAAACATATTTCATATTTATTTAAGCATTATCCAATAAATACATTAATCATAATTATTATTAATTTCCCGAATAAATTTTCTTTGCAGAAATAAAGTTGAATTTAATTAATTAAACAATAAGTAGGCATACGAGAACTAATATTTTAAACGGCAAGTTCTCTTATTTTTCTATATTTAATTATTATATATTAAATTTAGAGTAGGATTTACAAAATTAATACCAGAAAGAGTAAATTATTATATTATAATTAGAAAGAAGTTACTTCATTTAAACTGAATATTTTAATAATTATGCAAACTAAAGTTTATTATTTAACTTTATAATCACTGATCGCTTTCTCAATTTAAACAAAAACAATGACAGCTCAAGTGATTTTGTTTTTGTAATGATTTAAATTAAGCAGAACAGATTTGTGATAAATATGAACAATCAAACTCGGGACCAAAGAATTATAATACTGGAGACACAAGGGCAGACCGACAGACCTATATTCTGCTTTTAATAAATTATTTCATCATCTGAAATATTATAAAAAAATATTTACAATATGTAATAGTGGTATTTAATAGTTACAAGAATTTAATTCTTACTTCTGTTTCAATAACAGCTGACAATGTGGGGTGTAACATTTGATACATATATTTTTTTAAATGGATCAGTGTGTAACACTATGTAATTTTCTAAATGATGATCATTAATCTAATAATGAAAAAGTGAAATAGGTATTAAATATCCCATACTAAATGGCAAATGACAGGATTATAAAAGAGTTTTATTTGCCATATAAGTGGAAATATTTTGGCATCAAATATATGGAAAAAATATTTACAAAAAATATGAAGTTATATATAGTATATATATTATTAAAATCCCCTTGAGGTATATAAACTACCATACTATAGACACTTTAATAAATAAACAGAATTAAAATGAAATATCCTTGATAGTATATTGTATGTAGCATGCCAGCAGGGAGTTTTAATATCAGGTGTATTTATCTATCAGCCAGTATTTCTTATAGGGGGTGGCAAATGATTTGGAGAGCCTGACTGCAAGTAGGTGCCGTAGTTGTGCACTTACCTCTTCGATTGAATGGCCTCACCCGCACAGCAACTTTCACCTTATCCGTCGCCATGTTCCAACGTTGAATATACGTTATACTGTATATCCTATGTTGTTCCACTGATCTAAATGTACAATTTGAAATTTACAGAAACATATCCTATACGGGTGCATGTATAGCAATACGCCTCCATACCGACACTACGATAATACCATCGCCATGTTTCGCAGCCTCTATATAGTTCATGACGTAGCATGCTGGAGTAGGTAGCGGTATGCTACCAAAGTAACAAAAATTGAAGAATGCTGCCATCTGTTAGTAGAAATAGACAGAAAAATCTTCAATTGTTTATGCATACTAAACAAATCAATTTAATCATGTGTTAAAAATGATCTATTTACATTCCGTAACACTCAATTTCATATACGATTTTTTNGGTGACAAGAAAAGGGGGTCAGAAATATTATAAAAAAATATTTACAATATGTAATAGTGGTATTTAATAGTTACAAGAATTTAATTCTTACTTCTGTTTCAATAACAGCTGACAATGTGGGGTGTAACATTTGATACATATATTTTTTTAAATGGATCAGTGTGTAACACTATGTAATTTTCTAAATGATGATCATTAATCTAATAATGAAAAAGTGAAATAGGTATTAAATATCCCATACTAAATGGCAAATGACAGGATTATAAAAGAGTTTTATTTGCCATATAAGTGGAAATATTTTGGCATCAAATATATGGCAAAAATATTTACAAAAAATATGAAGTTATATATAGTATATATATTATTAAAATCCCCTTGAGGTATATAAACTACCATACTATAGACACTTTAATAAATAAACAGAATTAAAATGAAATATCCTTGATAGTATATTGTATGTAGCATGCCAGCAGGGAGTTTTAATATCAGGTGTATTTATCTATCAGCCAGTATTTCTTATAGGGGGTGGCAAATGATTTGGAGAGCCTGACTGCAAGTAGGTGCCGTAGTTGTGCACTTACCTCTTCGATTGAATGGCCTCACCCGCACAGCAACTTTCACCTTATCCGTCGCCATGTTCCAACGTTGAATATACGTTATACTGTATATCCTATGTTGTTCCACTGATCTAAATGTACAATTTGAAATTTACAGAAACATATCCTATACGGGTGCATGTATAGCAATACGCCTCCATACCGACACTACGATAATACCATCGCCATGTTTCGCAGCCTCTATATAGTTCATGACGTAGCATGCTGGAGTAGGTAGCGGTATGCTACCAAAGTAACAAAAATTGAAGAATGCTGCCATCTGTTAGTAGAAATAGACAGAAAAATCTTCAATTGTTTATGCATACTAAACAAATCAATTTAATCATGTGTTAAAAATGATCTATTTACATTCCGTAACACTCAATTTCATATACGATTTTTTTTTTTCTAGAGAAATTGATTTCTCTAGAAATTTATATATAAAAAATGGTAAATTTTATATGCATTTTTTCTGCATATTAAATATAGAAGAGTTGTAAAAAATTTTGCATAAATTTTTCAAATAGAAAATTTAATTTTTGTAGTTGGAAAGTTAGAAAATTTTCTGTAAAAATTCGCATTTAATCTGATAATTCATGTTCGATTTTATGTTAAAACAATTAAATGAGTTGTGTATTTTAAAAATAATTTTTTGAGGAAAAATATATAAATTTTTATACCATTAAATGACTGTAAAAATCTATTAAAAAATCTTTTTAATGGCAGTTCAATAGACTTTAATCAATGATAATTTATTCTTGTGAATGCGTTTTTTTTCCAGCAAATTAAATTTGAAATAAATTTTAATTTAAAGAACCTTAAAAACATGTAAAAATTTGCCAATTTTAACGATAAGCTGTAACATTTTTCCGTTTAATCTATGGTAATTTATACTTGACGTATGAAAATTTCGAACTCAAACATGCAAAACAAACTCATTTAAAACGTAAACTCGTCTAGAATAACGTTTAACTTTACATAATTGAGTATTAAATAGATTAAATGAAGGGATTAAGTATAACAATTTATAACTGTAATAATTGTTTTCCAATTTAAACTTTCACGTTAAGTTAAACAATATAACAATTTTGGGTAAGCAAGATTTATTATATTTTCTATCCTCTCAGAATCAGATGGAGTGCTGTATCTATATCTCTACGGAGCTTCCAAGATTGGATTTAGTTCTACCCTACAATTCCTTGATACGGTGACAAGAAGAGCAAAGTAAAAGGACATGTAAGCATTTATTAGATAACGAGATGAGGAAGAAAAAATGGGGGAAAGAATATAAGAACTGATTAAAAATTAGATATTTAGATAGAATTTGTAACAAAATTTGTTTTGCGCTGTATAAGTATCGATCGGGATTCTTTAAATTGGACTACAGGAGAAATCCATTTAGAAATGACTACAAACATCATTTTCACAATCGCCCATGTGAACACATCGATAAAGAATGTCTATACACTTAAGCATTGTTGTCGAAAAGATTTTTATTTTTTAGCTTTATCTAAATAACTTTAAAAGTGAGAACACTAAATTTGATTGATTCTTTTAGTCGGAGATTTTATAATATTGTGTCAACAAGATTTATAACTGTATAAACAATAGTAAATTCTCAATTAAATTAGAAAATTTATGCGAGTAAATTTAAATAATAATTATATCGTTTGATCTGAAACTTTGTGTACAGTCCTGTAAAGTTTTTTATTTTATTTTATTTTATTTTTTAAACTGGTTTCTACGTACAGACAAACAGTTCTGTTTAGCAATGATTTGATTATTTAATTGTTAAGATACGCATCATTGAAAAATTCATGACGAGTATTTAATTAACTGAATGTTTTAGTCTACAAAAACACACAAAAAAACTAAATCACAATGAATTAACTATAAACAGATTTAGTTAATGTATATAAAATTTAATTTGAATTTTCAATTTTGTAAATCCTACTGAAATATTTAAAATTGCAATTTCGAAAATATAATTCCAAAAACTTATGATGAATAATAAACTACAACACTTCAAAGCAACCAAAAAATAATATATTTTTAAATGAAATTGTTACATTTGTTTGTAATTAGATATAAGGAAAAGGAAATTTGGCTGTACAAACGAAAATTTTCTTCTTTGTTTTTCTTGTTTTTTTTATTATATACATATACAGTTGAAAGAAATTAAACATTTAAAACAGAATTTAAACGAATATATCAATTTAAATTGTGTAAATTCATTATTGCATATGTAACAGCAAGAGAAAATGAATAAAGAATATAAATATAAGCAAACTATTTCATAAACACTTTCAATTTCCTCTCCATATTTTTAAAATTACCATTTTTTTTTCTGTAAATAAATTTGAATAAGAAAATGCTGTATATATTATTTTCTTATTCAAATTACAGAAGTTATTTACAGTAAAAAAAAATAGCGAATTAAAATATATAAGTTATATATTTAACTAGAATTTCTTAATATATTTTTTATAAGGAAAAACAATGAAGAATAATTTAAAATGTATTTGCTATATACTTAAATTAATTCATAATTTGTATATTAAAATTATTTTAATATCGAGAATACACGTGCAAAATTTGCATTTAAATTTGTTGTAACAATGCAAACAGAGCTTATTATTATAGACATTAAAGTGTTAATAAAATATCAGCGAAAATATAGAAAGTAGTATTATGAATAGCGAGGTGTATTAGTTACTATTCAGTATTCATATAAGCTATAAGCATTAGTACCTTTATTTTATAAGTTATTGTTGATTCAGAATAGAAATTCTGTATCATAACATGAATATTTTTATGTGAATTTTAAATATTTTCCAGCATTTCTAATGCAGATAAATCTATATCCAAAGGGAGATTGAACTTGAATTTATCATTTTTAAATGGAGATGATATAGACTACATCTATATTTATATAATAAAAAATAATGGTAATATTTATTTATTTAAAAAAAAATATCCATATTTTAGCTTAGTTACTTAGTTACATAAGATATTTGCCATAAATAAAAATCAAAAACTTTGATGTGTAAAGTCAATTTTAATGGCATATTTAATCTTGATTCTTCTTTTTTATATATATATTTCTTGAGTAGGAAAGTCGTCTTGTGTTCTTCCCAGCTTTTATCGATCAAAAGATGAGTCTCGAAAGTGGAAAAATTGCTGTTCTTGGATGGATTTTAATGTTTGTGAACAACTTTAAAAATGTAATATGTAAGTACGAATATAATTTCAATTAAAATAGTATTATTATTATTATTTAAAAATGCGTGTTATAAAGATGCTTTAAATTTTTATTACGTTTTATTATTACATATAATTTTCTCTTACGAAATTAAAATTATATCAATCGTTCGTACGTCGAAACTCTTTGATTGCAGACTACAAAAACTGTAATAATAATAATAATATTCTGTGCAAGGTTAAGTAGAGTGAAGGAACCTTAGGCAATAAATCTATTCCGAATCGATTTACTTCTTTGATTTATGAGTTCTTAAAATTTTAACCATTTATATCTATCAGGTTTTGAAACATTCATTCAAAATAGGAAGCATTTTTTTCATTATAATGTTAAATTTAGAGTTATTGTTCAACTTTTACTTGATATCAATGAAAAATGTTGGAGCTATCTATAAGAAAGGTGAATATTTTTTACGGAGAATTCATTAATTTAACCCAATAGGTAAAGTTTTGATAGAAGGAACTTTTAAAACATTATATATTCATGAATGATACAGATTTTACTATTGATTTATTGTGTTTATGAGCCATCGTAACAGTAATTATTCATAATATTGATTGGTATTTAGAGTGAGTGAGTACAGAAACATGCTGTCAATACGATTTTGTTAATGGCAATTAAAATGTAAACAAAATTATCCGAAGCTTCACTAGAGAGCGAGAAACACTTCTGAATTTAAAATAAAAAATAATAAATCTTTATTCATATTTTATGCAAATAATTTATGGGTTATACATATGGCAGTAGTAATTCATATTTGTCAGAAGAATAGTAACCTTATTTCTATGGTGAAAACGTCAATTTGTTAAATTGAGCAAAACAGGAGTAGATACAAGAACTGTACAAATAGTGAAGCTTTGATATGTTTTATTCATCGTCTAAACCATCTAGAGAAGGAAAATTTATTCAATTTTCGAAAGAGCATCCATCTTTTCCAAGTAAAAATGTATCGTTTTCTTGTATCATGTCAAAGAAT